AATGAGGAATTTCAAATAGTTAATTTGATATTAATATCGATATATTTTTGTCAAATTTTTATGATATCTTCAAACATATATTTTATTCAAAAATAAAAAACATCATCGCTTTCTCAAAATCACATAAAGCCATATTATAACATCAACTGAAATAAATAATAAAATGAAATATTAAAATCATGATGTATCTCGCTGCATTGCGCGAGTACGCTTCTAGTATATATATATATATATAGGTCGAGGTTCAAACGAAAACATCTCTATTTTACAAGAATGCGAAAACACCCTTATCACATGTGATAATACACGTAAGGAAACTTGGTGGTGTGCGGATGACGTGTTCTGCGACTTAGGTCGCGTCAAAAGTCGTCTGCGTCTATGATTTAGCATCACATGTGATGGTTTTGATGGATTATAGTATCACATCAAAAACACTCTTATCACATATGATAATACATGCGATGGGGCTTGGTGGTGTAAGGACGACTTGGCCCGCAACCAAGATCACGCCAAAAGTCGTCTGCATCGCTGATTTAGTATCACATGTGATGAAATAATAATATCGCATGTGATTGTCTATGTTAAAAAGGTGTCCTTGCGTTCTCGTAAAATAAAGTTGTTCTCGTTTGAACCATTCCCTATATATGTGTGTGTGTGGAGGTTCAGACGAGAACACCCCATTTTTTACGAGAATGCGAGAATATTTATGAGTCTCCAAATTATTTAACTCATAATTAACGTGGTGTGAGACACAAATCTTGAGCCACGGCGTGCCAAGACGGCTGCTACAATGAGACTTTTAGAACTGTGGGTTTCCATAGGAATTTCAAAGTTGTTTGGTTTGTTAATGAGATGAAAGAAAACAATATGATCATTTCCCTATAACCATTTTTCAAATAACAAATGCATGTTTCTATTTATTGTGTATTATATGCGTCTCAGTTGTATGTTTGTGTTTTATGATGCATATTTCTGTAGATTTGTACATTCTCCAAGTTGACCAACTGTCGGACCAAACTTGCTTGGTTTTGATGTTCTTAGGGAAGGTTTACCCAGTAAACGCTTACCGATAAGAGTCGATACTTTCACTTACCTTACCGGATAAGATTCTTGGGGGGCCGTTTTACTAAACATACCTTGGTAAGAGCTTACTAGTTCAATTATCTTATCGGATGAACATGATTCTTGCCCGATAAGAGGGAAGACAAGGATCAAGAGTCTTACTCAGTAAACGCTTACTGGATTATAAACACTTACCATCAATCCATTATAATGGCAAGAAATGTTAGCTTATAAGGCAAGTGAAAGTAAAGCCTCCTACTGGTAGACGCTTAACCGATAAGCATTTGGTAAACGACTCCTTAGTCTATCAAAACGACATTCTATATAACAATTTACTCGATAACCGCTAACTGGATAAGACTCTCAGTCCTTAACATCACTCTTACCGAGTAAGTCTAGATCCTTGCCATATCCATCCAATAAGATAAGTGACACATAAAACACTTACCTGGTAAATATTTTATAAACAACCTCTTAATGTGCCCATTTTCACGTATGAAATACTCATTGATCCTTTTCATGATTAAAACGTGCTCATAGAAATTCATTGACACATTGATATAGGCATGCGTCTAAACCAAGGTTTTAAAAGACATGTTATTACAACAAACGCATCTCACACGTCGCGTTAATTTTTTATAGGGACAAAAACATCGTTGGCCCAACTATACCAGATTACCAGTAGAGTCCAGCCTCCTAATAAATCAATCATTCAAACATCACAAAATATATAGTATTTATATACGACAAATGTAACAAATAAACTCACACACCCTCCTCACCTTTGGTGAGATTTAAACCCCTGATCTCCTAGAAGGCCAAACACTACGATACTGTTAGGATAAAAACCCTTTGGTCATGGCAGGATTTTTGAAGTTATTGTACTTTGATTCTTTTTAATATTATTTTTTTACTTCTCACATTGTCATTAACTATTAAAGTATCTGACGACCCCACATCTTTTGTGTGGGTAGTCGGGTTCAAACAAGAACAATAACCAAATAAGAAAACAAGAAAACGCCCTAATAACATGTGACTCGCACAACCTTGGCCAACTCACCTGCACACTCCACCAAGTCCCATAATCACATGTGATTTCAATGAAAACTGTTCTCGTGTTTTCTTATTTTGACCATGTTCTCATTTGAACCTACCTCGCCGCGTATAGCATGTATGAAAGCGAGCTGATAGTTACTTAAGCGAAATAATGTTATGACATGATACAAATCTCGATCTTTTCATCAATCGTTATTCCAGAAAACTTAAAAACTTTACTCATAGCATGAAAGAAGAATAAACAGTGCTAATAAAAAGATGGTTTTACATACCAATGTGAAGTTGAAAGGAAGAAAGATACCAATCTGTATTTGGTTGGGGAATCAAAGAACTCCAAAGAAAGGATTATTGATGGCACTGTTCAACTCACTTCCAGCTGAATTCAATACAGCTCGATCGATTTTATCCCTAGCCAGAAACAAGAATTCGTCGCCTTCAACCTTTTCAAATCCACATAGCTCAAGAAACTTAATGCCGCCTTCCAATTTCCCGACTCTATCCTGTTATAAATCAAACAAGCCAACAAACGTCATATTTCAAAATCGACTTCTACCACTACTTTCTTGATCATTACATAGGGTACATCAAGAATGCATTCATTTATGGCCTGTTTGGTTTGCGGGATTCAGACCTGTGTTTTGGTTTAACGGAAAATCCGGAATTGTTATCCCACAAAAACTGGTTTTAGGGGTCGTTTACCAAACACTTACCCAGTAAGTGTTTACCGGTAAATTTAACACTATTATTTACTCATCGAGCAAGATTTTAGTCCACCAAAACAACATCCTATGAAACAATTTACCCGGTAAGCTCTTACTGTGGTAAGAGTCGTCGCCCTCATTTACTGGGTAAGACTTATGGTCCTTGTCTCGCTCTTACCGGGTAAGATTATTGGTCCTTACCATATTCATCCGGTGAGATAACACGACTTGGTAAGCACTTACCCTTGTAAGTGTTTGGTAAACGGCCCTTTAGAAATCTAGTGGGGATGGTTGGTGTTTCACGAGATTTCATAGTATTTGTTTGTAATAATGATTTAGAATATGTTAAAAACATTCGTTTTGTAGTAATCAATTAATAAAAGGTAATTTAATTATTTTTATAGTTTATTTATAATCTGTTTTTGTAAATTATCTATAAAGAATGAAATTCAATTCCACTCCTACAAACCTAACATTCCAAATCCTTCCAAGAAATCGTAATGACTCAAAAACATACCGTAGAACCAAACGGTCCCTTAAAGTTAAGTAACTGTGGGCCCCAATTATGAAAAAATAGGTTGGGACGGGGACCATAAATGAAAAATGGAAGTAAACCGTATAGACTAATACTAAATACGTTACAATAAATTGAAATGTTCGACTCGATATATGATTTAGTAAACATGTCACTAATAATCAGATGACCAAAAATGCCAAAGTAAAGTAAACCTATGGGAGGACAGCTGAATTTACAATAAAGTGATGCTAATGGTAAAAAGATACTTCCTTTGTCCCAAAATAATAAATGTACACAATGAAAAAGGAACACAGTTTTTGGAATGTGTAACTGTTACACTCTTTATTTACCAAATGACAATTTTACCTCTAATAATAGACATAAATTTTCTCCATCTTATAATTAAATATATAATATAGGGAAGTAGACACCACTTCTGAAAGTGGACACTTATTTTGGGAAAAACTAAAATAGAAATGTGGACACTTATTTTGGAAAAAACTAAAATAGAAATGTGGACACTTATTTTGGGACGATGGGGGTAAACCAGAACTGAAAACTTACCAAAAAAAGTAACTTTTGAGTTTTATTTTGGTTCGAGAGAAAACTTAATTGCTAAACTAAGGGTCCGTTTACCAAACGCTTACTGGGTCAGCGCCTACCAGCAAGAGCATCATCCTCACTTACCTTATCAGGTAAGATTATCGGCCATCAAAATGGATTGTTGCTATGGAGCTTTTACCCGGTAACCGCTTACTGGGTAAGAGTCTTCTCCCTCACTTACCGGATAAGATTCTCGATCTTTGGTATGCCTCTTACAGGGTAAGATTCTAGATCTTTGTCATGTTCACCCGGAAGGTCAGTGATACCCAGTAAGCGGTGCAAAAAGTATTTAAATAGAAACATATTGGAGGGTCAAAAAGAAAAGTGCAGCTTTAAAATCTGAGATGTGATGGATTCAAATTTGCAAAGATCTCACCTGAAAGGCAGCATTACTAAGTCTGATCTTGCGGAATTTTTCCTCCTCGGGCTTAGTTGCAGCATTCTTGACATAAGTCAGAAGAGTGTTAAATGCTGTCTTCACTTTTGCCTCGTCATCCTAGTCCATAACAAACCGTTAGATTCAGAATAGCCTCAATGGCTGCCATTCTAACAAAATATGCTACTCTTCCCTCCTTCCATTTTTGCAGATCAAACTTGGTTTGCATCTGTCTAACAGATGCCCAAGTCACTGGCATACGAGAATTAGCATTCTTTGATCAATTATAAAGATGACAATCTACAGATAGTGTTAAGAGAAAAAAATGCATTAAAGCTTGGTTTAGTTCCTATTTAGTGTAAACGAAGAATTTTTTTCTCAATCAATGTAGCAAAGTTCCAAAATTTTCTACTTTGTACCTATTTTTACAGAATAAGCTCTGCTCATCTTGTAATATTTGATGACGTGGTGGATACTGTTAAACGAAAAAGCTACGGCGAAATGGACTATGAACTAACATCCACGTCATCAAATGTCACAAAACAGCAGGTTACCGGTCAAAAGATTGGTAAAAAATAGAAAACTTTGAAGCTTTGTTTCATTATATCTGAAACTTCAAAACTTTGGTATATTGGTTGACAAAAAAAATTCTTTGTTACAACACCAAATAGGAACTAAGGTGAGCTTTGTTGCATTTTTATGTATTTTACCCTAATATCACTTTTTTCAATACTTGTACACGCAAAAGAAAGTACAATTCACCATATATATAAGCTGATGGCTTTTACCTTATTGCTCTGCTTGAGAGATCGTAAGCACTCTCTCATTTGCTCTGCTTTTGTAGCAGGCCTGATGGGCAACGAACTCTGTAACAAAGGCCAAGAAGATTCTTAGATTAACACGGACTCTGATTTGCAAAAATTCCTACGAGCAAGCTACTCAAACTATGGGATCCTTGTAGAAATTGACCTACGAGAAATGTGGGAATTCATAACAAAACAACTTTCAAGTTTCAAGTTGCAAAAGCAATACCTTCTTCGAATTAAATTCATAATAAAACAATTTTCGAGATGGGATTGGAGAAAGCAATACCTTCTTTTCCTCCACTACAGGTGCAGAAGGTTTTGGGGCAGAGGGATCTTCTGCAGGCAATCCCAGCTTCCTCCTCCTTTCAGCCTGCACAACATATATATATATATATATATATATATATATATATATATATATATATATAATATATAAAATTAGCTTCACACAAGAAGCATAGTAAAATACTTGACCTGCAGCATAGTTGCTGTTTAACTAAGTAAATTCATACTATGCATCCTACAGACTAAATAAACATTAGGTACAAGAATATTATTGTTATTATTATTAATGATGTTGACCAATTGAAACTTACACCAAAACCACCAAAATTAGTTTTGGAAATTCGATATTTCAGCAAAGATGACCCTTCTGCACTAGATTGTTTTACAGCATATCTATAAGTATTTCACAGCCAATAGAAGTAACTTTTAAAGGAATTACCAAGATGTATTGTATACGGACATCTTAAAAATCCCTTTGGCTCACTTGACTACATCAATCTACTATGAAGAAAACTCACCTCTTAATTACTCCGAGTCGGTATATCTTTTACACTAGCCATCCATGTGGAAGGCCCCTTTCTGGACCAGCTCACTATGAAGGTAAAATAATCTCTAAGCACCAACTACAGGCCTATATCTGAAAATTCGAGTAAAAACAATCCTAATTTAATCCTATTCCAAGCAAGGAACCTAGAAGATACAAGATGACTATTTTACAACTTCCGCCCAATCTAGGACTAGCATTTTGTCAACACGCATCATGCAAGAAGTCTTGGAATATTTCAGCAATTGACTGTGCTAGTACACATAACAGAAAGACTTACTCTAGGTTTCCCTGATTATAAAGCATAGAAATTGCATGTTTTGAAGACTTAACCGTTACCAACTGTGAGATGTGCATGTGATGCTCAACAGTAACACTATATTCAATAGAGAGCAACTTGGTGCTATTATAATATTTGGCATTCAATAGTGAGCAAGTATTTGTAGGACCTTATCCTCTTCCAACTTCTGTCTGATTTTTTCTCTAGCTCTTCTCTCCTCCTCTTTTTCTGCTTTCCGCAAGGCTATAATACTGTAACAATACAAAAAAAGGTTTCCTGTTGAAAGTATAAATAAAATCACTTAAGGAGAAAGAAGAAAGAATAACGTTACCGTTTTCTTTCATTATCTTCCTCTATACGCTTTGCTTCAAGTAGCTCCTTACCAATTCGAATTCGCTCCTAAATAAGTTAAATTTATGTTTAAAATATTATGAAAATGACATTTGTGTGCATACAGCTGGAAGAAATTTATGTAATACACAAAAGTTATTGTAAGTAGGATACTTATAAGAACAACAAAGTCTAGTTAGTATAGACCTAAAGAAGAATACCCATATCATCTAAAAGATACAAACAAAAATTAAAACTTCATGGGATATGAATTTCATTGGAACATATCCACATTGGCACACACTTCAATGATAATTCTTAGTTATATATCACGCCATTCAGTATGCCATTGACTGATAAGTAATATGCATGGAGTTGAATTTTACCTGCTTCAATCCAGCAAATGCATAAAATGAAGATACTTCTTAGCATGTTATGACCAGCTCATATGTTAAAGAAAAACTAAACAACCAGATTTGAGGCAAAATTACATCATACTTTGTTGAAAGAGAAGACTACATTACATTTGGATGATATGATGATAACTTTCACAAACTGAAGATCACTTTTATACAAGAAGTATAATTTAACACTGGACAACAATTAGCTATTTATCCATTTTATAAACTATAGATAAATAAGGGGGTTATTTATCCAAAAAAATAATTACCTTCTCTCGCTCTCTTTCCATTCTCCTTTCTTCCTCTTCTTTCTTTTTGCGAGCTCGCTCCCTTAAATATAACAAGCACCAAGTTATGAGATAATTAGAGATGTAAAACAGTAGAGGTGGATCACTTCAAAGAGGAGTGGTCCAACCAAATTTCAAACCACTAAAGGTTCTCAATATTCAATAAACGGAGTGTCCTATTCCTGTCAACAAGCTAATACTGATAAAAGACCTCAAAGATTTTGCTCCTATTCTAAGCTACAACTAGCTTTAACACTGTATCAACTGATAAATCAAGCAGATCAAAAAAATTGTACTTCAGCTCTTGCGCTTTTGCTTTCTTTTCCTCAGGAGTAAGAGAAGGCTTAGGAGGCTCTGATTTACTCTTGGCAGACACCTAGCAGAGAGCAATATTAAACTTGTTAAGAGAAGTGATCTTATTTTGCACATAAGAGAATAAAGAAATGCTTTTGCAAGATTGCTTTTGCAAGATTGCTTTTACAAATAATGAATTAGAAAGATTCATATGATTTTATAAAATACCACACGATTCCTATCAAGATAGTTGACATAGATAACGATCATTACACAAGACATAAACATATTGTCTAATTATCACATAACATCATCAATCATCCGTCCCATAAAATCACCAAAGAATATTATCCCCTTTTCAGGTCGAGTTGATACTCTAATGACACAAACATTAATGAGTAGTGCATGTAACAAAATATTGATAAATTAATTTCTTGGAATAAGCATGTTACTGGAAAAACTTCTTAGACACACATGTGAGTGAGGTACAGAAAAAGAGTACCATAGGCATCTGATCTATGTCAGCATCATCCTCATGTTCGACAATCCAATTTGCAGCAGCCTCAAGATCCGAATTCCCTGATAACAGTTATGTCAGATGAAAACGTAACATAATGTAAAAGTCAAACAAAGCACTAATCTGATAATACTAAGTTGAAAGAATTGTAATAAATATAACATAATATCTTTCCATATAGGGTATAGTCATCAGGAGAAATAAATTTTGATTTGATGTTCGGAACTATACTCATGCAAGTTACTTAAAACTCGATAAAGGCTAGTGGAGTGTCATGGATGCTAAAGACCTGCCACTGCTGTGCTCTTTTTCATTTTTCACCTACTTCAGGCTGAGGCACTAATACAATAGGCGAGGGTGGGGATGTGCTAAATCTTCAAGAGCTACTATATGTATTCCAAGAGTTCCCTTTTCTTTTTCATTATGAGCTTGAACTTCGATACCTAGCAAACAGTGGGATTCCCCAACTTGATGAAAAATAAGGGACAAATAATAACATGATAAAAATATTAAGGAAAGGCACAACCAGCAAAAGGCAAAATTCCAATTAGATTACATATAGCAACTTGATTTGATTTTCGCAGTTTAGGAACATGGATAGATAATAACTGGAAAGAAACTTCAAATCATAGGCTTCAGCACGCTCACCAGAGAAATGAAGTGCCCGGGTTGCCCTTGCCTTTGAAAAACCCATTGACTCAAGCTCCTCTAGTAGTTTTAAGTCAACATCAGGAACAACCATTTCTAAAAAAGAAACATGTGACAAAACTAGATATCAGAAGGACACTAATGAATGCTGAAACCCAGAGAGACAAAAGCATCATATAAAGAACATAACTGCTCGGGAAAAGAGGCATTCTCATTACTAACATTGTTGCAAGAGGTTACTTCGATCCAAATTAAAAACATAAGCACACTTAAGGCCCACTGGTTAGCAGCTCAAATGAGCTTAATGTGACTCACAGCTTATTCGGTCAGCTATGCATGACTGTCTGATAGTGGCTTAATGATATAGAAAGTGGCTTATTCACAGGGGCGGACCCACTTTAATAGATACGGTGGCACGTGCCACCACTTCATTCCTCCGTCGTAGTATGAAAAATTATAGGGTCGTGAAAGGTGCTACGTATCATTTTGTTTTGTGCAACCGCATATATTTTGAAACTACAACGGTGACACAAGTTTCCCTTGGTAGAGTTGTTTGCATGGCGTTTCTCCCACCCCAGACCCGGGTTCAAATCCAGGTTTCATTTTCTTTAGTTTTTATCTTTTAGCTTTTAATTTCAAATTTATTATGCTTCTAAAAGAATTGCAATGGAAGACATGAACACATGACCTCACATATGAAGAGCAAAGAACTAACCAATAGACCAATGATTATTTTGTTAAAATATCCATGTCTTTGTTTCTTATAGTCAAATGGTGCCACCACTATCTAGTCAACTATTAGAAGGGAGCTTTATGCAGGAAAACAAGTTTTTTTTTTCCAAAGCTTCCCCTCCCAATTAAAAAACACACTCCTATCTATACAAAAACCCTCACCCAAACAAAATCCTTCCCAATCTATACAACAGATTAATCCACATAGATACCTTTATTTTAGCAACCATAGAACTACCACACTTGAGAACAAGATCTAAACAATTTTGTAATCAGCTAGTTCTTATTTCCGAAAAAAGCTTGAGCGGAATGACTCAAAATCATTAGAATTGATGTTTTATTGAATTGACAAGTAGCACTCGGCACAATCAAGAACCAAACAGGCAATACTAGCAAGTATTTGATACCCTCTGGTTCGCCGGTAGTACTAGCATCCGCCATATCCACATCATCGTTACTTTGCTTCTTGGGAACCTCCAATGTAATTGGCTTCGCCGTCTCCGAAGTCTTGTCCGAAAATTCAGTATGCCCAGTCCTCTTGGTATGCAGATCACTCTCCTAATACAAAGAAAAAATACATCTTCACCGATCGATGATCCGTGCCAATTATCTCACGAGTATAAAACAACGCAGATGCATAAATACATACAGTTTTAGAGCGGCATGGTTTGCCACAGGTAGAGCAAACTAGGTTAAGAACGGCTTCGGTGGATTCAGAGAAATTGGTATGACTGGTGAGCTCTGCGTGTTCTTGTGCTTCTTCAACCGATTTCAGTAGCGCTCCGCAGTCTCCGCACTTCAGTGATACTCCTGCCATTGTTGCACCGGCGATGATGGCGGTGGCCGGTTCGATTTCACGGCGATCTAGGGAGGCGTCTAGGATATACGGTGGTTTGGACTTTGGGAATATTGGTGTGCGATTCTTTTACCCGTCGCCAGGCCAAGAATAACAATTCGGAGCCTGTGTATTTATATATTGAAGCCAAAATTGCGCCGAACCGACCCGAAAACCTTTCCCTTTGTTTCTTCCCCAAGCCATCGGTCCCGAATTTAATAATTTTTATTTTTATACCAAAATTATGTCGCAATTACTAACGAGTTGTTGTTGAATGATTTAATGTAGAATGATCAACTGATTAAATTGATTAAGAAGTTCTTATGATATAGTGTAAAAGGAAATATAATTGTTTGATAATTGTGTACAATAAAATTAGGGCTCTTAATGATTAAGGGATGTTTAGGATACAAAATCATTTAGAGGGTTTTAAAACTATTAAGAAACAGTTTTTTATTTGACAAACAATATTCACCTATTAACGGTTTAGAAATTGTCTCGTAATGGAACTATTAAGAGATAAACAAACAACTCTTAAATTAATTTGTTAATTCTATAGTAAATTACGATTTTAGTCCCTATGGTTTATCAATAACTTTAATTTAGTCCATGTGGTTTATTAGCAACTTCAATTTTAGTCTCTATGGTTTAGAAATTGAGATTTTCACCTTTGTAGTTTATAATTTATTGTTATTTCCATCCATGAACTAATTCCTACCTTTATGATATGTTTGATGTCCATAACTGAACAGTTGTTCAGCATTTGGTAAGACTGAACTGGAAAAAACAGAACAACTAAAATGACCAATTTACCCTGATGAGTTATTATATATTTTTGATAAATCTATGTAATTTATTAAATTATAATAAAATAATCATTTTTATAACAAAATACATCATTATAAAGTTTTCGTCAAAACAATTAAAATGACAATAAAATAAAAAGTTTATATTAGTTTCCAATTTGTTTTATCTTATCGCTTTTCTACAGTATTTTTTGTTATTAACATCCAATAAATTACATAAATTAACAAAAATATATAAACCGTATAATAATAATATTTTGAGGCCAATAAAATGAAAATTTAAAAAACACAAAATACAATAAATAAAATTTAAAAAACGAATAAAATGTAAAAAATAGACATAGTTGATGTTTTAGAAGAAAAATAAGTTTTACTTTGAGATTATATTGGTAAAATATAAGTTTGTTCCACCTTGTTCTATCATGTTCTATAGGGTCGGGGTGGAACAGACATGTTCCACTTTGGTCTTGTCTATTCCACATAAAAATTCCTGCCAAACATGGAATATGGATCCGTGTTCAGTTCTGTTATATCTTGTCCAGTGTACCGAACACACCCTAAAATTACAAAGGACCAAAACAATAAAGAACTGTAAACCACAAGGACCGAACCAACAGTAAATTGTAAATCATAATGATGAAAATAACAATGAATTATAAACCATAGAACGAAAACTTTAATCTCTAAACTATAAAGATGAAGATCGTAATTTTTGACAAAAAAACATAATTTAGGAGTTGTTCTTTTACCTCTTAATAGTTTAATTAAGAGATGAATCTTGTTTGACATAAAAAAAAATCTTGTCTCTTAATGGTTCTAAACCCTCTAAATGGTTTTGTATCTTAGGTCTCCATTAACCATTCAACGTCTTAATTTCATCGTAAACAATTATCAAATAATTATGTTTCATTTTACATTATATCATAAGAGCCTCTTAATCGTTCTGACCACTTAATCATTTTGCACCAAACCATTTAACAACTCTCAAACATCCTCTTACTCTTAATGCTAACAATGCTCCCGAATTTGAATTTTATACCACCAACGCACCAAGGGCCAAGTGATTGAACCGAAAAAACCGAGTCACTGGTTAACGGGTTTTTTACTGGTTAACGGGTTTTTTAGTATAGGGTCCGATTCAAGAAAATGCCAATGCCAAACTGGTTCATTCAGCTACAATTGACCCATCATAAACACCCCTATCTGATCATCACTTTCTTGTCTGAAACCGTTTTTTGACTTGACAAGTGACAACAATCACAAACCACCATTTTCTTGCATTTGATGAACAAAACCAAAAAGATTCTACAAGCCACAGCTGATACCAATTAGAAAGAATCTTTACTTGCATTCTATATGAAAAATGAATACTGTATGATCCCTAAACCAAACGAACCCAGGCGGAGACCGCTCATACATATAATGTCCTGTTTGGAGGTGTCACTGACTCGTTTTTTGGGAGTTGACGAGAACCACATGGGCATTCAAAACAAAACTAAAAGAATTGAAATCGTCGATCAACCCTATGAGAATCAGGTTATGATTCTTACAACTCTCTCCTCGGCATCATCGTCATCAAAAAGGACAAGCTTAAGCAGGTAGTTGGAGCCTTACATTGTTCTTCCAGCTGCAAGCATCAAAAACCAGAAAAAGAGTAATAAGGTCATGTTTAGCAACCAAAAGCTAGCTTCTTGTTTTTATTCACCTTATTGAGAAAGAGTTGATTGTTTAACCCTAAGCTAGCTATTTGAAGCACTACTTCAAGCAGGGGCGGACCCATCAACCCCCAAGTAGGGTCCCGTGCACCCGCTCAACTTATTTTCTTAAGTAGAATATTTGTAGGGTATGAAAGGTGCACCAGCTAAAGTTTGAAGAGTTCTCCAGAATATTAGAGAAATACAACGAACATCAATCAAAAAACCAAAAAAGTCCCTCGAAATTGACAAAAAAACCGAAAAAGTCTCTTGAAACCAATCAAAAAACTTAAAAAATCCCTTGAAAGGGGGGGGGGGTTCCTCTTTTTCCAGTTATGCCCTTTATATTTTTTTCAGTTAACTTTTCTAACATGTCTTTTTAGGTCATTTTTCATTATCAACTAGTTTATCAGGTAGTTTTTAACAAGCACGACGAGTTTATCAGCCAACAGCTAATTTGTAAAGTAATATTTCAAATAGCTTTGGGTTTTTTTCAGTTTTTCCAATAAAGCCCTTTATTTTTTTTCAATTAATTTTCCAACATAGCTTTTTTAGGTCATGTTAAGCTACCATTTAGTTTTTACCAAACATGACTACTTAGCATTTCAGTCAACGGCTAGTTTATAAGCTAGTTAGCGAAAGATAGCCTAGATGGCATACCATCAGTGAATCATCAATAGTGATCACTTAACATTGTGTATGAAATAGTTGTAACATGTGAAAACATATGTTTTATGACATGCAGATATGGTGTTTGCCGAGAACTTTGTGTAGTGAATGTTTATCGTCTTCTTGGAAGATACATGTAATGTTTACCTTTCGAAGTAGTAATAGAAGAAATCAGCGTAAAGCAATGTCTGGACTACACCTGCTATCCAAGCTGCAACACCAGAAGAAGCATTCAGAGAGTCATTGTCACTCGTGAATTCGAAAATGAACAAAAACACTAGCTTTTTACATGCATGCTTAAATAATCTGTGTGAGTGAGTGAGAGAGAAATAAACATATATAGAGCGAGAGAGAGAGAGAGAGAGAGAGAGAGAGAGAGAGAGAGAAAGAGAGAGAGAAAGACATATACTGATCCAGTGGACAAAATGCGGTTCAGTGAAGTAACGGTAGATCCAGTTCAAAATGTATAAAGCTCGGTACGCTCTGCAGGAACCCAATAAAACTTAGCTTCTACTGAATATTGAAATCTTATGGGGGCACTTGGTACAGAAACGGGGCTGACAGGACTATAGGGACAAGAATGAGGTAGGCGGGTGAAGAAATTGTGCAAGGAATTATGGTTTTAATTTCACATGGGTAGTTTAATAATTTACCAATCTTGTCCCATCTCTCAAGTTTTTGTTTCACCTATTATGGTGGGACATTTTATTGTCTCATGCACTTCTGTCTTGTCCCAATCTAAATGTCGCAGCAATCGTGGACAACAATTTCTTGTTTTGTCCTGTCCTGTCCCATCCCACATACCAAACACACCCACATGTTTAAAATGTAAGATGCACTTGCATCTGAAATTGCAATTTGGATTTACATATTCAAATTTTAAATATCTAAGCAGCCAAGGATGTTCGTTTCTTGCTGATTTTTGCCATTGGCAGATGTATATTGTTGATCAAGAGAGGAAAAAAATGGAGAAAATACTGCATTAGTATATTACCCAAGAAGAAAAACATATTGGCCAGTCAAATTATCAATATTCCTTGTTCTTTGCAGCAAAACCAGCTGAGGAAGTATCGCGACTGCTTCTAGATACAAGGAGAATGTCCACATTACCTGCTCAAATCAAAGCAACAAATGATCAAAGCTAAAAAATTGATTTGCATAATCTAAGGGTCTCAAAATCAGAATCCCACGCTTTTTGGGTTGTCTAGTCTAGTCGACGGTCAGGCAACAAAAGTTACTGCCCTCCCAAATTTACTTTGGGGATATGGCGGCCTTTTGTCACACTTCTCATAAGTCGTGGGTCTTCACGCAAACAGTTTCTCTACTCCTAGAGGGTAGGTTTGCGTACATCTTATCATGGATTCTTTTGGTTTGTTTTGTTTTATATGGTGGCCTTTTGTTTGATGACTTGAGTCAGGTGGACAGAATCTGAACTTCACTGAAATATCTAATATTTGAATAGCAAGATGTTTATACCTCTTTGAAAGTGAGCTTTTCATTGACAAGTAGGGCCAAAATCAAACAAGGCAGCATGAGAAAATAATGGCGGAAGGTGTCTTGATCTTTATCATAGGATCTACGAACGACCCTGTGGTGCCTTATGTACCATACAATAGAGAAAGAGCTCCCCAGGAAGATTAACTTCATGATAGTGTTATAAACCGAGATAAAATCAGTAAATATATCCAAGTAGCGAGTAGCAAAGACCATTGCATAGAGCTCCTGAGTTTTCAATGATACCCCTGCATGTAACAGAAGTAGAATTTCAAAGATGATTGCATGAACTTACGGTCTCTACAATTTAAACAGTTTATGTTTACCAATGCAGTAGTTTCTAGGATGTTACCCAACCGATTTATAATGACGTGTTAGAAGACACACAAAAGATGGGGACAACTAACGTACAAAATGATCACATCATATATCATTTGATCTTAAACAAACATGGTTGCCTATCAGCACTAGTCTCATTTATGGAGTTATTATATAGATAACTGTGGGTCCAAGCCAGCTTGCGTGCACCTTGACTAATCTAATGGGGTCCTGAAGTTAAGAGTCAGGCAACCATCCAATGACTGGGACTCAAACTTGTGACCACTAGGGAACAAACCCAAGTTCTTACAGGTTGGGCTACCCCTGAGGGTTAAACTCATTTGATGGAGTTTTTCTTTAGCATTTTTCGTTTTAAAAAAATCTAGCAGTGCAATAACTTAATTTATTTACATTGCTGCTTAGAGTTGAAGCAAACGTGCATTCTCTTTCTCAAGTCATCGTTTCCCTATTCTTAACCATGTCAAGAATTACTCAAAAAGCTCCTACTTTCACATCAATATGCATAATAGCAAATATCAAGCCACTGGTATACTTGTGAGCCCCATCTATACACTTTCCGTTACTAACCTTGTTATGAAAACTTCTAGATTCGCTAACATATGCATTAGAAAACGGAGGTGCCATGACAGCAAATTAAAGAGCACAATGGAACCAATAATCAAGGGCAAGGTGGCAAAGGACAGGGCCAGATTACCACGGTCTCATTTCTTTATACCAATTTTTTCCCATGATATAAATGGAAACCACAGAAAGAAAATGTTAAACAATCAATATGAATTCAATTAAAACAATTGAAAGGAAGAAAGAAATTCACCTCAGGCAAACAAGTAAACAGTCTACCCTTCATTCTTCAAGGACAAAAAGGATACACTTTATGAGGAAGAACAAAATGTGAAGTCTAGAGTTTTTAAACGTTATTTGAAAACTACATTGAACAATGTAACAAGTCCATACAGTTTTTGCATCGAATTTGATGAACAACTAATTACTTGCGGCTTTTAGATTGCTTGATTAACTTTGAACATCTCATTTCTGTCTTCCATAGTGCGAGGACAAATGGAACATATAATCCAATTACAATGTGAATAAGGTGAATTGAGATGAACTCGCAACACGTAGAATGGATAATGGACGTAACTGATGTAAGCAAATAGCAGAAGCTAATAGAGAAAGCTGAACCTCATCCCTTTCATCTATTATGCAAAGAACCGATGGCTCACTTTTTCTAAGTAATGGGGAAGAGGACCGAAACACAAAATACGCTACTACGAACCAAAACATTGCGCAAATTCACTTCAATTCATCATAAAACCACAATTTTCCATCAATGAGTAATATAAATAATCACATCGCCCAACAAAATAATTACACCATGAACTCTCAGCGTTCAGATAAACCACAATTCGAAATGAACGACGAAAAAACCGAATCAAAAACCTAATTCTCACCAGCTGATTAATAACTACTCGTTAAACAAAAAACCACAGAGCATAGGGCAAAAGGCGGGAGTACCAGCGCATGATTTGATGGTGTGGATCTTGAGGAGCAATACAAGGACACTCGCCAAATGCGTCATGTCACCAGCCAATCTGAATATATTCATCCTTTCTTTGTTTTTTTTGGGGGATCAAAAACACTGACGAAATGAAATGAATTGGTCAAAAACTCGAACAGATCTACTTGGAAACAACAATTTCAAACAGATCTCTCCGATTGATCCAAACAGATCCTTATCCCCTTCGATTCTGTGTGGTTGGTGTCCTTGCGTGTAGCTTGGGAGAATGGAGAAGCGATATTAATCGGGTCGGGTTTTTTGATCGAGAGAGAGGAGAGTGGTTGATGAGTGACCTTCCCTTCATAAAAAGTAGCATGGAAGTTTGGCCAACTGAAAACAGGGTTTTATATATAATACTATTTTTTTCATTAGTATGAAATCGTATAAATAAAAGATTGATGACGTGGACAGTCTAGGACAGACCCACCTAGAATGATACGGTGGCATGGGAAAGAGAAAACGACAGCAAATCCTCCTTAAAAAAGATATTGTGTTTCTACCGGTTTTTCGTATAATTAAATGGTTCGATATACAATGATTAAAAAAATTATAATATAATACTAGTTGTGTATTCGTATAATGCGATAGAGAGTTATGAATTTTAACGGTTTTGAAGTTTTCACTGGTTTTATTAGAAAAAATTTAACGATGATATAAATTGCACTTGATTTTTATATATTAATACAATTTGAATAAATAAGAGTTATGGTTCCAATTACAGTTTATCAATTAAAAAAATTGTATGACAATTTAAAACTCAACATATTTAAACGACTTCAAAAATGTGTTCGATTTACACTAAGAGCAAAGAATCAAGAGAGGGAGACCGAGAGTTTTAGAGCAATTGAATGAGAAGACTTTTAATAACTCATGGTAAATATCAATTTGAATTCTTACCTTAGGGATGAGTAGAAGACATAGAGATATGAAAATGTGATGGCATGAGTAAAATGTGTCAAAAAAGTATCTTAATAACATGAAAATAAAAAGTAATAATGTGCATTAGTAACTTGTATTATATGTTATTTTAATTGTAACTTAAGAGACTTTAAGACTAAATGCATAAAATAGTAGTACTTAATGCATTATGAGTTATTTTTAAAACTTTTAAAACTTTGTGCATAAATGTATAATACTTTGTGCATTAAAAATTGTTTTTAAGACTTTTGGAAAATCTGGTTTATAATATAGTATGGATAGAATGAAATCATTTGGTAATTATTTACAACGAAATTAGGATGCTAAACAATTTTTAATGCATAAAGTATTATACATTTATGTACAAAGTTTTAAAAGTCTTAAAAACAACTCATAATGCATTAAGTACTACTACTTTATGCATTCAGTCTTCAATCTCTTAAACTACAATTAAAATAACATATAGTGCAAGTTACCAATGCACATTATTACTTTTTTTTCATGTTTCTCAAGATATTTTTAACACATTTCATACATGTCTTCACCCTCTCATACCTCTATGTCTTCTCCCCATCCCCTAAAGTGCGATTCAAACTGATATTCACCATGAGTTATTAAAATTTCTCTCATTCATCTTCCATTAAATTGCTTTAGAACTCTCGGTGTCGTTCTCAATCTCTTGATTCTTTGCTTTTGGTGTAAATAGAACACATTTGTGTAGTCGTTTAAATATGATAGATTTAAATATATTGTATTTTAAATTGTTATACAAATTTTTTCATCGATAGACTGTAATTAGAACCATAACTCTTATTTATTCAAATTGTATTAATATGTAAATACCAAGTGTAACTTATATTATCGTTAAATATTATCTAATAAAACCAATGAAACTTCATAATCGTTAAAATTCACGGCTCCCACTACATTGCAAGAGTACACAACTAATTTATTCAAGCTTAAATTGTGTTACCACTTGAAAAAAAATTATAGACCTATCTGTTGGACAATATTTTGAGATCTTGAAAGGAAAAGTCAAAAACTCTAATATATTAATGATTAAGTTTTTTAATTGTTTTCAACAAATAAATTATTAAATTTACCTACTTTCATAAATTTTCTTATTATGATATTATATTTTAATTTTTTTTTATTATTATAATATATTTTTAATTATTTTTTATTAGGACACCTTACTTTGAAATATCTATCAATTATTGTAATGGATAACTTGTTACATTTTAAACCATTTACTTTTTTTTTTTTGCTTACTTGGCTTAAATGATGTGACTTGCATGACACATTATTTTGATGAAATAGCTAAAATAAAAAATAAATAAATAAAAAGCTTTTTTTAAATTACTTTAATGATTTTCACTTTTCATTACTACGAATGAAGAGACATTTTATTTTATTTTAACTTTTTTTTATTAAATTATATTACAAATTAAATATTTTAGATTAAAATATTTCTTAAATAAATATAATATATTATTTTCAAGATAATTATTTTGTTTGCAAAAAAGTAACACTTCTTGTTTTATTTTGTTCAAAAAATGTATATCTTTTAAAGTTTTTTTAAAATGATAGTGATATAAATTGTGCTCTACAAGTTTTTTACATATTGTTTTATCAACAAATAATTAAAAAAATTAATTAATTTATTATATTTATATTTCAAGTAATTTTTTAAAACAAATATGATATATTCTTTAAAAGATAAATATTTGTTGGTAAAAAAATATAACAGTTCTTATTTTCGTTTTTCAAAAGATACATATTTCTTTTAAATGTCAGCAAGATAAATTGTGTTTTACTAGTTTTATTAATATTGGTATATTAATGAATAATTTATAAATTTTCTAATTCGTTTAATATATTTATTAAATAATGTGTAAAATCAATTTTTTCCAGTGTATAATGTTGTAATAAGAAATGTCACGTAAACAAAACGTTACATGTGGACATCCCATATAGACAATCATGAAATGGAAATCTAGTAACCTTTTTTTTTTTTTTTGTAAGGGTGTCCGGGCCAAAGCCCGACTAATCCCCGGCAAATTTGGAGGCTAAACATGGWCCCACTTAAATGTCGCCAACACTCCCCTCCTAGGGCTCGAACTCGGGTTTATGACTATGTCATGCCCAAGCCTTTAACACTAGGCTGTAAGGTCTTTGACGAAATCTAGTAACTTGTATAATATCATCTTAACTCAAAAAGGTTACTCGTTGCTATAATCTCGATTTTGGGAGATTAAAATTCCAATTGAAATTTAGGGTTACAAACAGATACTAAATTTAGGTAAACATGTTTGATTTGATATATTTCTAAATAATAAAATATTAAAACTAAAAGCATATGTTCTAATAGAAACTGATGATACTATAATAAAATAATTTTGAAAGTATAACGTTGTAATAAAAAATGGCATGTCAGTGGTATAGTACGTTTGGACAACCTAAGTGGACAGTGAGGTGACATGAAAACCTAATATAATGAGTAAATTTAAATCAAAAGGTTACCTAATGTTATAATAGGTAAAAAAATTAAAGTACAGTACTTTAATTAAAAAATAATTTGAAAATACATTATTGTTATAAGAAAAAATGAAAGTACAATGGTAGGGTCTAACAAGGTATTTATACCACTTAAACTGTTTATTTAGCACAATTTAGTAAAAATCTATTAATTTATACAGACAAATTAATTCATATATGATACGATAAAAAAAAACCAAAAATATTAATAATGATGACAACAATGACTTTTGTTTTTCCCAAATTTAAAGGGGAATAAATAATTACTTATAATATATTTTTTATTATATAATTCTCTTAATCATAATTTAATACTACATTTGAACTTACAATAATTTACTTTGCATAAATATTTTCTTTAAACTTTGTATTTTTACTGAAAATAATCATATATTATAATTTTCTTTTATTTTTGTTAAAATACAATACTTACAATTAAGCGTGCCGATCAACCCAACCCAACTCAACAAGAAATAACTTAACCCGAAGCAACCTGATGTTTAATCGAGTTGTAAAATTGTCAAATCATAAGTATTAGGTTACTATTATTTGAACTCAACACAATCCGACGAACCCGATATCCTTTTATTTTTTGCATTTAATATGATTATTGAATTTATATTAGTATATATATATATTAGACAATTACACTATTATGTATGCTTTTCATATGCATATATTTTCAATCTATTCACACTATATAACTTATTCGTATATATGTTATGTAACTTTGAACATATATACGTAAATTGATAAAATTAACTGAAATTGATATATGTAAGAAATATGGATAAGTTGTATTAAATGATTGATGATGAAAAATAAATTATGAGTAGATAAATAACATGTTCAAGGTTAGAAAAATATTTTAATTTACCAAATTATCAACCCGACTAAACCGTACGGGTTGGGTTGGGTTGGGTTGCACTTTGGTTTGGGTTGGGTTAAGATTTTTCAAACCGCAAACATTAAGTTGAGTTGTTCAAATGTCTTCAACCCTATCAACTTAACCCATGAGCACTCCTATTTACAATTGATTGATGATTAATTTGTGGTACAATATAAGGCTAAAACACAATATATATATATATATATATATATATATATATATATATATATATATATATAAGAGGTCGTTTACTAAATGTTTAATGGATAAGTGGTTACTGATAAAACTCATTATCTTATTTACCTTATCGAATAATATTATCAATCACTAAAATGGATTGTTATAAGCATCTTTTATATAGTAAACGTTTGTCGAGTAAGAGTTTTTTCCCCTCATTTATCGGGTAAGATTATTGGTCCTTACTATCTTTCTTACTAGGTAAGATTTTCGAACACTAGGTAAGGGGTCATTTACCAAACACTTACTCAGAAAACGCTTACGGGTAAAATTTAACACTACCACTTACTTACCGGGTAAGACTTTAGTCACCAAAACGATATTGTATGCAACAATTTATCCAATAAGAGCTTACCGTAGTAAGAGTCGTCACCCTCACTTACCGGGTAAAACTCTTAGGGTGCGTTTGGTTTGCGGGAATGGAATGGATTTGGGAGGATTTGGATTTCAAATCCATTCCAATCCCATGTTTGGTTTGCTAAGTCATCAGGATTTGAAATCCCGGGAATCCCTTAAAATCTCGTAAACAAGGGATTTGAAAATCCTTTGGAAAAAGGCTGGATTTAGAATCCGGGCAAACCATTTCTTCTTCGACGCTTCATGCCCTAACGCAATCCTCGCTTTCCCCACCTCCCCACTGCTCTCGACGGTTTCCTCTCCACCTCCCCACTGTCCTCGCCGCCGCCGGTGCTCTCCTCCT